TAGTTTTTACCTGCTCACAGCTCAGTCCTGTGCTTAAAAAAACCAAAAACCTTAGTCCTGGCATTTTTACCAAGAAAGTAACTATTGTTCTGCCTTCTAGAAAGTGTCAGGCTGGCGAAGGTCCACCTCACTGGGGCTCCTTTCTTCAGAAGTGCTCAGAAGCACTGGAGGAGGTGTAAGAACCCCCACAGCACAAAAAAGGCAACGTGGCCACTGGATGACTGCAAAGGGACAGGTAGAGCTGGAGCATGGCCCAGGAGGGAAGGCTAGGAGTAAGAAGAGACTTCTGTTTCTCTGCTCTGTGACTTGGATGGTCCTTGTAGCCTTCCTATGCCTCTGTTTCCCCCCTGGGTGCTAGCAGCCTGTCCTTTATCTTTCCCTGAGCATGGAGAAGTGAGGCAAGGCAAGGCAGTCTTAGCTCAAACTGTGCAATCAGATCCACAGATATGGGATAATCTCTCCCCCAAGTTAAGTCTCTGCGACAGTTTAATATCCTATCCAGCCTTTTTTCTGTTACCATAACTAATGACTGATGATCTCAAGGCACATACTGCTAGACATGGACTGAATTGTGTTGATTCATGGTGTCCTGCTTTAATTACAGCAAACTCTAATCCCTCAAACTGAGTTTTCCCAGGGATGAATGGAACCTGTGGCTCTGATTGCACAGTTTGAGCTAAGACTGCCTTGCCTTGCCTCACCTCTCCATGCTCAGGGTAAGATAAAGGACAGGCTGCTAGCACCCAGGAGGGAAACAGGGGCATAGGAAGGCTACAATGACCATGCAAGTCACAGAGCAGAGGAACAGAAGTCTCTTCTTACTCCTAGCCTTCCCTCCTGGGCCATGCTCCAGCTCTACCTGTCCCTTTGCAGTCATCCAGTGGCCACGTTGCCTTTTTTGTTCCTCTGGCTACAGGGGACTTCAGCCAACCACATACCTCTCCACAAACCGTTGGCTGCCTGAATCTCTGCTCTGAACAATGCAATCTCTGTCCTCCCAGATTAGCAGCTGAGTGAGAGCCCAGTCTGTATCACATGCTCTCCACCCCCAGGAGGTATTCAGTGAGTTAGAAAAAAATAATTGAGGGTCTGAGGCTAGCAAGGGGCCGCAGCTCCCTCTGTGGGGGTCTTTTGGCAGGTGAGGTTCATAACTGGTTGCTGAAAAGCCTTCAGAACAGTCCTTGCTTTTTGCCTCCTCTTGGCACAAGAGAATATGATCAGAGATAGGGTGAGTGCCCTTACCACAGGGGTGAGTGGCCTGAAAGTAGCCAAGATGGAAAGACAAGGAGTCAGGATCCCCTGAGTAAGTTTCCTGGCTTTGGGAAGACATGCACAATGGTCTTGGACTTGTTGTTTCTACCTTTGGCTTCCTTTTACCCGGCTGCTGCTTGACCTGGAGCCAGACCCTTCACTTCTCTCCCCTTTGCTTCTGTAGAAAGGGAATAAGGACACACTCTCCCATCCCTGAGGGGAGTGTGAAGCATAATTAAAGGCTTGGAAGTGCCCTGAGACCCTTAGAAGTATAGGGCTGAAGGCACAAAGAATGAGGGATGGGGAGAATACCACTGAGGAGCCCAGCACAGCAAGTGCACATGGTAGCCAGCTGCAGGGGTGGATTCAGAGCGGGGTGCGGCACTGTAGTACCCTTTGCCCCCATTAGCTCTGTGCCATCTGTGCAGTGAGCACTTCTTGCCATCTGTGCAGTGAGCACCTCCTGTTGGGAGCCCCTTATCTGCTGTGAGCTCTATGAACTCTCTGCATAGTCTGCCTGGAGTCCTCTGAAGAGGGGGGAAGAGCTAACAGCAGCAGGCTCTGGAGCTGAAAATAGAGACTCTGTGCAGACCTATGGCAACCAGGCGGTGAGCTCACAATGCTCCTAGCACACCTAGAGGTCCAGCAGGAGTTGTGCTAATATGCTGGTGAGTTCCCAGAGTTCACTGGCATCCAGGATCACACTGAGGGGCTGCGGCTGCACCCTCTCAGGCTTTGCAGCACATGTATAATGCGCTCACTTCACTGTGCACAGATGAAGGAGGTGTGGCCAGACCCCCATGACTGTGATCTGGGATCTGTCCAGGCCCAGCTGCTCAGGACGGGAACCCTGTCTACTGCTCCTGTTTTATCCTCATCAAGACAGAGATGGATGCCCTGGAGGTGCCCCTAGTTTAAGGTCTGGGTTCCTGGCATGCTCAAGTGCTTGGGGCACTCCCAAACCATCCTCCCCTCTTTGAACAGAGCAGGAGGTGTGGGCTGGGCTTATTACCTCTGGGCTTGTGGCCAAGCACTCAGTCATGACTGCATAGCCCTACCCTTTGAGGCTTCTCCATTAATAGGGCACTGGAACCTGACAATGGGCAGGCTTGTCTGCCCTTCATCAGGGGACCTCACCAAAGAACTGAGATATGAGTCTTTGCCAATGAGGATTTTTCATAAAAGTTTCTATCTTCAGGGCTAGTCACTCATGCCTCCCCCACTCTGCTTTCCTCTTGAGTGGGAGGGGAGCCTCTCTGTGGTTAGCAGTGGGAAGTCCCAAAGGCCTCCGCCTATGCTAGTGTTTCTGAGAAAACCTCTTGCTGTTCACTGATATTAGTAAGGCACTGGTGCCGGGGCAGGAAGAGAGAACTGCTGTAGAGAAGGGAAGATGGTTGCAGCTGCAGATGGTCTTAACACCATCTCATCCAACTTGGAATTGGCGACATGGAGGTAAAAAGTGCCTGGATTGTGTCTCTATTGGTGCCTCCTCCATTGCTGTCACTGGTGCAGCTGTATTGCTAGGAGAAAGCTTCCTGAGAAATGCTAGTTGTTAAAAACCTTTGCAGCAGCAGGATGTTGACCTCTGTTGTCCCCCTGCTTTACCTGTGGCAGGTTAGGGTGTTATGCCTTGTGGCTGTGTGGCAGGGTTAACTGTGTCATTTTAGTGACAGGTTAGACAAGGATTTGAATATGGATGATCCTGCCTTAGGCAGGGGCTGGACTAGGTGACCTCCAGAGATTCTTACCAGCCCGATTTCTATATGATTCTAGCATAGGCCCAGTGAAACAGGAGCTGGGCCTCACCTGGGTGAGGCAGCTATTTGCTGTCTAGTGTGGGTGACCTCCTTCTGCACTCCCTCTCTATGTATTATGTGTGAGGAAGTCAATTAGCCCATACTGCTGCCTTCTGATCATGCAAAGTGTCCCTGCCAGGACTAGAGCTGGCGTTAGGGAAAATAGTACCATGGGCAAACATGTATTTTGGCAACCTCTCCCTGCCAAGTCAGTGACACTGCTGCAGGGGAGGCAGAGACAGAGGAAGAGGCAGAGGCAGGGACACAGTCCGGCAGGGAGGTGGAGCATCATGGTGTGCCAGGCAGGTGGGTGGGCAGGCACCGCTGCTGCTGTGTGGAGCGAATGGATTGGAGCAGGTGCCACCCTGCCTGCATGTGCCCTGCTCTTAGGCAGGGTAGGGCAGGGCAAGGCAAAGCAGGTTGGGGTAGGGTGGGGGGAGAGTACTGCTGTGAGTGTGGGATGCTTGTGCATGTGTGTTTGATGCCCCCCTGACTATAGCACCCTGGGCAGGTGCCCACATTGCCCACTCCTAAGGCCAGCTCTGGTTAGGACTAAGCAGGTCCTAGTCACTAGGAAGTTGTGAGGCAATTACTGACCACAGTATAAACATGTCTGGTCCAGCTGAAAATCAAAAGCTGCTTGGGTTAGTTGAACAGATGGATGGATTACCAGATCCCAGAGTTTCTTTGTGATCTGAGGTAGGCTGACATAATCTGGCTGGCCTGATCTGCACTTAAGTTATACTGGGATATCTCTTGGTTTTATAGTTAGTCTAGGATAAGCAGTAGTGTAAATGTGTAAAAGGTGCTTTATATTGGCATGGCCTATTCCCTTTCCTGCCACCCTACATGTATATCTGCTTTAACACTAGGAAGATTTTGCCACTGACTACACATAAACAGCCGAAGCTGCAGTTCTTTCTGATAGACCCAAAACATCACACAGATATAGTTATTCTCCTCTCCATATGGGAATAGGTATAACAGTGTAGCATCTCTGTACCAATATCACTAGTTTAAGTGAGGAGCCATGGTATATAGTTCTGCCTGTGCCATAACTTTCTAGTATGGGCAAAGCCTCAACAGTTGGTAACGTATCCTTTTCTGCGTGATAGTAGGTTGCAGTAAGACAGTGCATTATTGCCTTTGCAAGAAATTTGTTATTAGCCGTGAAGGCAACTGTAGCACTCCTAGGTGGTGAGCTAGGCAGCTCAGTGGGATGGATTTGGGAGTGAAGTTGACTGAAAATGTTGAAAATACTGTATTCAAATCTTATTTGCCCTTTTGGAACTGTTAGAAATGAATGCTCCAGGCAGTCTCAAAGGGTTAACATTCTGGCCATTCTGCCTGGCTTTTCTGCTCTCACAGGAGACTTCCTAACAGCCTACACCAATGATCAGTCATGTGATCTCATTGTAGCAGTGTGATATGGATTTAACATTTTAATCGGATTAGAGTGGGTCTCTGACCCCTCTCAGCTTATTTCAGGAACAACTTTTGCTCAATGCCTGAGCTGTGCTGCCTAGGATGGTTCTGTGCAGAGAGGAACAAACACACCTACACTGATGAAGAGTTACAACACAGAGACTTTTCATGGTAGTCAGTTTAGAAAGCTCTGTATGAGGCATCAACTCTTGAAAAATGCACAAGGGGTTAAGTTGTGCAGTAACATCCTTCCTTCTGTTGCTGTGAGAAACGACTTGGGGAAAACAGTGTTTCAAGCTGAAGCATCTTAGTGGCAATTGGTGGAGATTCTTCAATAAATCAAGTGTGCTTAAGTGCAGCATCACATGCTTTCCTGTAATTCAGCTGGTGCCACTCCAAAGGTAATGTACATTAGAGAGGATGATTGGCAAAAGGGGATTATCCAACACAGGCCTTACCTTGGACAATTACTCATACCCAAAAGTCACTTAAGTGATATCCTTTTTTAGATTTTGTAAACTAACTCACCCTTTCAGTGGTGCCTCTCATCTTGGACTGGCACGTTGCATCTCCAGATGGGTACTATGAGGGAGAAGACCACCTCCCTGTGTGGGCTGGCACAGACATTGTAAACTAACATGCATGCTCTCAAGCAAACTCCTGCCCCATTTCTCCCAGATGGACAGGGCCAAGATTCTTCCCTGAAGGAGTCTGATGCCTCACAAACAATTCCCCCAACAGAGGTAGCAATGCTCCCTCCTGTTTTATGCCATTTGATACTGAGTCACACCAGCTCTGTAAGATGAATAGAGATGTGAACAGTTTAATCAAACTGGGTTAAAACAGCAACCAAGTCACAGCCATGGCTGTGAAATATGTGATTGAATGACAAGAATCCAGCATGAATGTTCTACTTCCCTTGGAAATGCTGAGATCTGCATGTCATAGCAATATCTGCATAAGGATCTCGGTTACTTTAGGTGACCATTAATGTACTAAAGGTGAAGATGACCAGCTAGGCTGAGTGCCATGCACAGAATTGCCTTAGTGCTGTTTTTGTGCCAGCTGGTCGCATGAGCATCTGTCTCCACTTCAGATGACCCAAAGACTTGGTCAGGAATCAAGAGAACCTCACCAGGATGTGCCATCACTTTCTCTGAGTCCTTAACGGGATATGCGGTAACTGAGCCATGAAGGCTTTAGGGGATACTTTTGGATTAGTCATGATCATGAGGGCAGTGCTGCTCCTTCTCCCTGCTCCACAGCCATCCTGTGAAATGTGTCCTTGGAAGAGTTAATCATCCTCCTGTCCAGCACAGTGATTTGAATCTCCTTCTAGCTACTCAGCAGAGGTGCCAGCAAATGCTCTGGAAGCTGTGGGAGACTTTGACTGTCCTCAAGGTTTTGGACTTTTATTCTCCTCCTGGCACTTGGGACTTGAATGCATTCAGGAAACTGATTAACTCAGCCACTTCGCTCTCTGAGAGGTAATGTTCTGCCAGAAGTTAAATATTCACTCCTCATTGCATGCAGAACAATAATTGTGAAGAGCCCAGCTGCCTTTCCTTTTCATGCAGCTTTTCTCCCTCCTTAAATGGCACTATAAACTGCTGGTTGTGCGGCCGGGAGGTTCCAAATTCCACCTCCCTCAGTGGGCCAAAGGCCAGTGGCATAAATCAGTATAACTCCAATCAAGTGATGCCAGTTGACACCAGCTAAGCCTCTAACCTCAAGTCTAGGAGAGTTCTGGCTCCTGCTTTATGAAGTGCACCTTGGCACACCTGACAAACACCTTGGTTCCAAAGTACATCTTCCAGGAACACCAAGTGCTGAATTTTTAAGGCTCTGACTCTTTCCGTTCCAAAAAGCTGATTCTTACAAAGCCTTGCCTAACTACTGTGCTAGGGGAAAGCTTCAGCTGTTGTGATGGCACTGGCAGGGCTCAACCATTGGAGCAGTTTGAGTAGCTGTGGGATGGGTGCGTTTACCAACATGTCAGCATTTGGCAATACCCTGAGCCCATCTGGGCACCCTGGTTGAGTAGTGGTTGAGAGGGAATGAGTGTGACTTAAGAAATGACTTGCACACCACTCCCTAGCAACAAACTAGGCCATAGATTCACTGACCAACCTGTTCTGCCTTCTGCTGTACCTTGGCTTTTCCCTAGCAGTCTCCCATTTGAGTATTGATCAGCCTGCTTAGCTTGTTTTCTCACCTGGACACCCCCAGACTCATAGATGTAGGAATCAGTGGGTGCATTGACACGAGATGCTTAGTGCACAGTCACCTAATAACACCGTGAAGTAGCTTGCTGGGTAAAAACCATGCTACTATGCTGCTGTGCAGTAGTATTAGGCTACTGTGCAGTAAGCATCACTAAAAACACGTGCGCCGGTGCTACTGCACAGTAACTCTAGTTACAGCGCATTAGTTATACTTCATTAAGCAAGTACTAAATTAAATGTGCAGTAAGTACTGCACATTAATGAATGCATAGACGTGCCCAGTATGATGCTCTTGTTTCCTCTGACTCATCTGTGGGTCTCTCTCTTTGTGCTGCTCCAATATCAGTTTAACTTATTAACATTTCAAGAAACAATAACAAAAAAAAAAATTCCACTGCACTCAGATAATCCATAGGAAAATCCCACTTTGGCACGTAAGTGCTGGAGGCTGCACTCGTGCATTCTTCCCAGGGCCCTGGGGAATGGAAATTCTCAAGCTCCACTCATTAACAAAATAGATGACCGTTACGTAAGACCACGTGAGGGAAGCAGGAATGTGGGTGGGCTTCAGTCAATGAAGGAGTTAGTTACACATCACTGAGCTTGACAGGCCTGGGAGAAAATGTCCAGAAACCTTTGCTTGTTCAAGGGCTTAAGTGGAAGAGCTTTAGCCATAAAACCTTAATGCTGTACCATTTGAGCATGGCCCTGTGGTCTCTGCTTGGTAGATCAGCCCTGCAGCCTCTTGCAGGTGACCAAGAAGGGCAGCCTTATGAAAATGTTGAGAAGTCACATGAAGAACACAACCTCCAGCAGACCTTTCAAAAGCAATTAGGGCCATGTGCTGGGGTCAGGTTCTCAGTGAGTCCCTTTCCTAGCAGGCCAGTCCTTTTCTGGCTTGGGTAGCCATTGCTCCCACTTTTGATTTTGTGCTGTGTCAAAATGGAAACTTTTGTCTACAACTCCCTCCCCCTTCCCAAATTGCAAAATCAAACCCCAGCTGGTAGAGGTTGCAAGATAATTTCTATCCTAGCCCCAGTTTGGTTTCCATTCTTTGCCCTGCATCCTTCAGTAGAAAGTCTTAGTAGTTTGACTGAACAGACAGTTTCTAAATGGAATTACCCACTTCCAGGATGGCTATTAGATTATATTCATGGTCATGTGGAGGAGGTTGTGATGTTAGCAGAGATCAAACAACTCACTCTCCAACTGAATTTTCCTACAGCACCTGTAACACAATACTTTGTAGCTGCGTTTTTTCTGAAGATATTCTACCTTGATATGGAACCACCTTAGTTCCTGTAAGTTAACCGGGTCGGGGCCTTGTCAGCCTTTGGCAGGATGCTCCAATAAGCATGATGATGATACCTAGCTCTGTTAGATTTGGTGCTTTTCATCAGAGAACCTCAAGATGCTAAACATAGGAAGGGGAAGTGATGGGCCCAAGCAGGCTAGTGGCAGAGATAGGGACTGAACCTAAGACTCATTATCTTATGTGAAGGCATGTTAATAATTCAGCCCCACAATTCAGAGCTCATGGTGCCAGAGGGCACTGGTGCAGCCGGAAACACAATCTTTCACATAGCATAAAATAGGAAGGTCATAGCTGTAAAGGTCATTAGAGGCCTCAGGGCAATTTGACAAGGACTGGGCTGTTACAAAAGCTTTCTAGCCAGATTCCTGCCTGGTTGGCTTGGGGGAAGCAGAGTGCAGAATAGGGTGGGAAATGGGTTTCCTGTCCAGAAAACAATGTCAAGATTAAAAAAAAAAATGTTCAGATTAAATCAGAACAAAAAGCTAGAATCTCAAATTCTCAAGAACTAAAAAATGAAAAAAAAGAAAAAGAAAAGGGAAAAAAATGGATCAATTGAAATTGCTTCATGTCAATAATTTTGCAAAGACGTGTTTTTATTTCATTCCTGTTTATTACTTTTTATTTTTTACTTGAATTAGCTTAAATTTATAAATGAAAAGTCATTTGCAGCTGGAGAATCAGAATAATAAACAGGATATGAGTTTCTTAATTTTCTATAATACTTCATTTGGTTGAGAGGCAAGGATGTTTGTGAATCATATCTTTTGTTAGACCAACAGCTTGGTTGAGATAAAGTTAGACAAGCTTTTAATGCAAGGCATTCTTCATCAGGTTTGAGGTTTTTGCTGGGTACTTCTAGATAGCTGCTGGGTTGCTTCCTTGAAGTAGCTGTATTATTTGGATGCTGAGGGCATGAGATTACGAACACATTTCTGCAAGACAAAGCAGAGGAGGAGTTTCCTGAGTGTCACTGACTGTGATAACTGCCCATGTGCATGCTTCCATCCTGGGGGAAATGAAAGCTGATCCATGGCAGCTTAGTCCTCAATGAAATAATGAAGCAGCTGATGCATGGTAAAGGAGGGCAGGGCTTTATTGTATAATCACTTGTACATATGTTTCTTTGAGAGAACACTTGGAATAGACCTAGTGTTTTCAGTGTTCAAAGCACTATGCACATACTACTCCAAAAGATGTGTATGCATTTCTGTCATCGCTGAGGCAGAAGCAGAATGACTTTGCAGAGGGCAAGTGGCAAGTAAGGTGAAGAGCAAAGACTGCAGTTTAGTACTGCCTACTATCTCCTTCACATTCCCTTCTCCAGACTAGGCTGCATACTGTTCAGGAGAGACCTTTGGCAATGCAAGAGGCCAGATAAATGTACACATTTTAATTAATTATTAAACACGGAAATGTAATTATTGATCACATCCATCTTATTTGAACCCCACGTAGACACTTAGCATAGCTGAGAAGAGAGACTTTAGTGAAACAGGAGCAGGAGAGGATGTTTCCAATGACCAGATTTCCCCATTCTAGGAAAATGTGGTCACTTGGGGCTGTCTGCATCTACCATTTCCAGCAGCTGATTAGGTAACTTGATTAGAACTCATAAAGGCAGACTTCGGGGAAGCCTGGAAATGATAGATATCCTGATGACACTGATTTCCACAAACAGCCAAACTAGCTGTTCTGCCTGCTACCCAGCCGTTTCCTTATCAGAATATCTATGTATCTAATAGGAGCAATTATGAGCAGGCAAAAGAATACACAGTCCCCACCTTTTGGCATTTCAAGGCTAATGTGATTTTTCTTTGCACTTCCCAAGGATCTCTGGATGAAATATTAACTTGTGTACTGGGGACAAAGGGCCTGGCAGGCTGTAAAGCAGCAGTCTCCCAGCAAGCACCCTGACTGCAAGGTGGAGGTGCAGGGAGGATGCTGGATGCTCATGGGTAGCAGTTCTAAATCCAGTGTCAGGTCTTTGTGCTAGATCCACAAAGTGACTGCAGTGCTGAAGTTTTTGGCTGCGTGCCAGCAGGTGAAATTCTCAGACCCCAGTGAGGTGTGTGGGCCCTCTATATTATGCAAGGGGAGAGGTGGCCACCTCAGAGTGGGATTTGTAGATGCCAGCTACTTTGGGGTGAAGCCACCTCAGGTGCCCAGTAGGAGAGCTAGCTAGAGCCCCCGCTTCAGACCAGAGGGAGATTCCTATCTCCTCAGGTGCCTAAAACAGGTGAGGCCTTTCTTATACACTTGTCAGGCCAGGCCTCTTTTGCTTTGCTTTCTGTACATGTAAACCAGTACAGCCTGTTCCACGGTCAGGTTGTCAGTGACCGAACTGGTGTCCCCATCTGGGCTAGCCTGGATGCGGAGGGTGTGCGGTTACCCAGCAGGACTAAAACCAAGACTTATCAAGGGCAGATGATTTCCCTGAGAGCCAACAGCCATCCCTG